CGGAGGGAGCGGCTGCTGCAGGCCGTCAGGTTGGAGGGGTCCGTGCCCGAGGGCTGCTGCCAGCCTTGCGGGAGGAGGCGGGGAGGTCGGTGCGTCCTGGGGGACAGCAGGCCCCTCAGCCGGGCAGGTGCCAGAGGGGAACTGGGGACTGCGCGTGGATGGAGGTCACCTGTGGCAGCCCGATGGGACGAACAGGGCAGGGGGTCATCACTGGGCACCAGCAGTGGGTGTCTGGGGGGGGGTGTCCCAGCGCAGCCTGCCTGAAGCCCCATGGTAAAGTGGGTTTCCGTGCCTGCTCTTGAGGATTGTTGAGAATGGTAGGTGCTGCCCAGGGAACGTCTGTGAACATGGTAAGTTCCTGCTGGGGTTTTTCTGATGCTACTTAAGTGACAGTCAATAATCACACAGGGTTATAGATACATGATGGAGTTCTTTGTCTTCAATAATAAGCAGTAAGCAACACTAAAAACAGCAGCTAAATGTCTAAAGTACGAAGAACTAAAGACTTCAGGCACTACCAAATAAATTTTGTCGTGTTATGCACCACTGCATTACACACCTTTGAATGGGGAACGTTCACAGACAGTATTTCTCTTGCGAAGAAACACAGAGCCAAGGAATGAAGAGTGTCAATCTGTAGCCTGTATTACTAAGGACCAATCTTAGCTATATAAGAACAAGTACAAACATGGTAGTTCTGTAGGCTCAGGATGGACAAGAGTGAAAATCAGGCTGTGTCAGTTTGGATTTAAGTCAATACAGGTTGAGTAGCCTTATCACAATGCGAGTGCAAACCCCTCTGTGCCCCCATAAAGGCTGACAGGGGGGCCTAACTGTTAACAAACCCTGGATGGTCCTATAATCGTAGTCAGTATTTTGAGTTTCCTTGTCAAGCTTGCAGTTTCTGCAATGCATTTGTCTTACTCCCACATGCTATTCAAATAGCAACACATACCATGCCGATGCTCTGCAAGAACTGAATTAAAATTAACTAGTTGGTAACTTCTTAAGAAGCGAAGCAACAGAATTGCTGTCCCAAAGATAATCAGTAACGCAGTAATGGGATCTGCTCTCAAGTCCAAAATATTCATTGCCTTTTGAAGTGATTTAAAAGGAGCTCTAAAATCAGAGCTGTCAGGCTTTCAGATGAAGAGGCAAGCTGACTCTAGGAATGGTAGAGATGTACGAGTTAATCAGGCTGGGCTTCTGGGTTCTGTAAGCTGAACAAAACTTGGAGCTCTGCATCTGATGGTACTACGACATACCTAGGGGCAGAGCGTGGGTCGTGCAACAGGAGAGGGGTCACAGCATGTTGCCACACTGAGAGGTTTTAGAAGTAAGGAGAGAAACCAGCTTGGCCAGAGCTTCAGTGCTGCAGGAGGAGTCCTCTCACAACGGAGATGAAGATAACAGGAATTTGCCTTGAGTAACTCTGGACAGCACCTGTAACAAATGTCTCATTCAGTGTCTATACATCAAACAGGATAGAGAGAACTAAAAACAGACCGGAGGAGACAGCGGGCAGAGCAGTCTGAAGTTCTGAGAGGGAAGAATGCCTGCAGCAGCTCAAAAGATGAATCTCTTAACCAGGAGAAAAATGGTTAACCAAGAGGAGAGGTGCAGTCTGTTGCAGTCTCTTGTCTTGGACGTCTTCAGGGGTAGGATCGTTGCTGCTAGATTAAATAACTGTCTGTTTGGAAGCCTACATTAGACAATTCTCTATATTTAAATCAGGTGCTTTTTTGAAAATTGCTAAAAGTTACCTAGCTTACTCCTCATGAGCTGAAGCTTTTAGATCAAGGCTTGATGTCCTAAAACAAAACAAAACAAAAAAAAAGGAAGCGAAAAAACACTGTCTTACATCAAAAATAGAATCTGTGATCTTTGCCAAGAATTGACTTCTGTCTTTAAAATTTATGCAGGAATGGATCTCTGAGTATTTGAGAGTATCAGGAAGGGGAGGCATAGAATAGGTTGTTTTTTCTCTCTAGGTGCTGAAATTTTAATTTGCTCCGAAGAGGCACATCTACGTGAAGCCCTCCACCAGTGCTATCCTGTAGCTCTACCGTTCCTTTTGCACCGGAGGTCTGTAGCCAGGCTGACGAAGCTCCCCCAGCTGAAGAAAGGACTGCTGAAAAGGGTGGTTCAAATGCAAAAGGAACAACCCAATCCCAGAATCAAGATAATTCTTTTGAGATCTCAAAACAGTAAAGGCGACGTCTCAAAGGGGTGAGCGTGTGACATGTCTTAAGAGAAAGTATTTCAGCCTACCAGGACAAACACAGCATCAAGAGTATTTAGCGTACAGTCTCCCAGGAGGACTCTCTGTACTCTCTAGGGAAGGTCAGTGCTAGTCCTCTTCCTCCTGCCCCGATTTATGGCTATTTACTGCTCTCGCGTGCCTCCTTGTGACAGTACAGCAGCCTTAGAAGTACATTCCCCGCGCTGTTCTGTATCGACTTGGGAAGGTGTTTCCTTTCTTTCGTAAATAAAGGAAAGGTGTTTCCTGGCAAGAATGCCTGTGAATGGAAGCTCCACATCGTCATGTGCAATGAGAATGTTCTTTCTAGACCCCATTATGAAGAATGGGGTAATTGCACATTCCTTGTAACAGCAATTGAATGAATGCGAGCAGTCACTTTCTTAGATGAAAGAACAGACTGCCTTCTGCTTGAGAAATGCCTTTCTCAAGAGACCCGAGGCTCTTGGGAGCACCCGACAGCTACAGGCTGTTACCTACATTGCTTACAAAGCCATTGCTCTAGCAGGTTGGGTGGAAACAGATAGGTCAGTAAAGAAAACCATTCTAGAGAACCGGAGGAGAGAATATGCAGCTACAAAGTACGTAAGGGCGCAGAGGGGAAAGACAGGGCTGGCTGATTGTCTGAAAGACAACCTGCACTGGTAGGCTAAAGGTGTATGTCCTTACGGTTTTAAAAGCTACAACAGATAGAGCAGTTGTTGCAGCCAGTTTCAGCTGAATGAACTCTGTAGGGAAGACATTAGCAGATATATTATTGGGAAGAAAAGCACGCTGCTTCTAAATCAGTGAATGTAGCAGCTAGGGCAGCTGAGGCAGAAAACGATCCCTTTATAATCAAGGAGGATTTCCACATACATGCAGCGCACGCAATATAATGGAAGTTTAGACAGTAAACAAAGACTAGTTTCTTGGATGCTGGATAAAAAGTGCCCACACAGCAGATGAAAATGTTTTCCAAAGATGGCAAATGACAGCTGAAAAGACCAGTTTCTCAGACTGACAACTCCCAACTACCCTGTGCTTATTGCAGAACTGTTGAGGTTGGAAGGGACCTTGAGACCGCCTAGTCTACCCACCCTGCTCACAGCAAGGTCACCTAGAGCAGGGTGTCCAGGACTGTGTCCAGTTGGGTTTTGAGTATCTCCAAGGACGTTCCACAACCTTTCTGGGCATCCTGTTGCAGTGCTTGATCATCCTCACTATGGTTTGGTTTTTTTTTTTTGTTTAAGTGCCAATTTCTGTATTTCAGTTTGTGTCCACTACTTTTCGTTTTACTAGGCACCACTTTGAAGAGCCTGGATCCATCTTCAGTCTGAACATCAGGTATTTATACACATTGAGATTCCTGCCTGAGCCTTCTCTTCTTCAGGCTAAACAGTCCCAGCTCTCAGACTCCGCTAGTATGACAGATGCTCCAGCCACCTGGTGTCTTAGTGACCCTTCGCTGGACTCTCACCAGTCTGTCCCCGTCTTTCTTACACTGGGGAGCCCAGACCCGGACACATCTTACCAGTGCCAATCGCCTCCCTGGACATGCTGGCAATACTTCTTAATGCAGCCCCTTTGCTGCAAGGGCACATTCCTGGCCCGTGGTTGGTGTCTACCCAGACCCCCAGGTCCTCTGCAAAACTGCTTTCCAGCTGGTCAGCCACAGCAGGTACTGGTGCATGGGGTTATTTATTTTACAAAGCTGAATGATACACAGTAAGTAACAGGCTGGTAGACTGCTAGGAGGTTCCTCACCCTTCTCCTTAGACAAGTAACCTAAATTACTATTAGTTTAATTTAAAAAGCAGAAATTGTACAATCAAAATACTTCAACAACTTTCACTCTGGCAAAATGACCCCTAACTATTTAACGGTGTTGGAACGGAAGTGATTGTCCCAGAGGATTTCAGGCTTTTAAGCTTTAAGCCTTTTTTTCCCCCCATTATTTAAGGCTTTTAAGAGCCAACACAGAAGACATGAAGAATGGTTTTACGTGTCTCCTTTTAAGACTGGGAAAGACGTCAAGAAAACATCCACCCCACTTCCTTTTCATATTTGCTCCTTTCAAACATCTAGTACAACACCCTTGTCAGACCTTGAACCTGAAATTGTACAGCTCTGTAGTTTTGTCTGGCTCTGTGCTATATTCATTTTACATTAATGCAAAATATATTTCAGTAGCAGCTGCGATAATGACTTTGCGTTCCGTGACAACGTGCCAAGGTCCACCTTTGCCATGGGAATTTAGAGGTATTTCACCTCTTCGTTTCTCTTGCTGAACTCTTAGATGTCCCAATTAAGCAGAAAAAATTAAAGGTGTGATTAGCTGTGAAACAGCGTACAAGCAAGCCTCTTTGCCAAATTTATGTTTTGAAAAGTACTATGCTGTTTAGCAGTTGGTGGAAAGTGACAATACGTTGTTTTGCATAATCACTTATTACAAGCTGCTGCTACTAGATAGCTGCTCTCTGTTCATTTTTGAAGGGGGAGCAGAATAAAATGTTTTTTCTCCCCCACCCCCCTTCCTTCTGTACACCTCCCCTATTTTAAAAGCACATTTTCAAAGAAAAATGTACAAAGTCAGATTATTCTGATAAAATCCTTCTAATTCCCTGATATTCTTACAAGAGAGAAATTTGTCTCAAATTTTGGAACTGAGTACGTTTATAATTTAGCTGCACAATGCCAGCATTCACTTACTGCCAGCACCTAATCTGAGCTATCGTTATTTATAAAGTGCCTTCCGCTACACAGATTCTGTACACTGTATACTCAAGTTCTTAATGCTAGAAGCTTTATTGGCAAAACTTTCACTTCAACAATCCAAAAGGCTCTAAAGCTACAAGAATTACAGCTCAGGGACTGTACAGAAATAGCAACACTACTGCATGAGACAATCTGCAACCACTGAACAAGCAATCGTACTTCTTTGGACTGTCAACCTCTTGCTTTTACGATTGTTACACACAGTAAATCGCCAAAAGAGATCTAGCTACGCTATTTCCTTGACAGCCTGCCCTGGTTTTTGTATTGAGCAGTAAGGGGTGTTTGCACAGAGACAAAAACATGAAGGTACCAGTACTCTGATCACCTTTCGCAGTAGTACAGAGAACAAGCTAGACAGACTTGCTCAGCTCCAAAAATATCTGGACTTTTCCAATTGTGATCACAGCCTAAGTGCCGTTATCATTAGAAAAAGGCTAAAACAGCTTCATCACCTATGCACTGTTTAGTTGGCTTCGTTACTGCAGCTATTGCACTTAATTAAGTCACACAGTGACCCCACAGAATTGTCACTGTTGATCAGTACCCACCTTCAAGCTGAGCTGCCAAAACTTTAGTAAGACAAAACATGTTGTCTAAGAGTGGGAACTCCCTGCTCCCCAGGGTAAAAAAGCAGCCTGTGATTCACCCTTGTCTGATAAAACTTGTACTGAGCACTCAAGCAAATGACAAGGTGCTTTCTTCCAAGGGGTCTGACTACTGTGCTGCCTCCACTGCAGGTTTTTCTTAGTACACCAGATGTTTTCATCTGCTTTAAATGCTTTTACGTAAGAGAAAGAGAGCAAAATGAGGTAATACAAGATTGAGCTTTCACGTGCTACCCTGGTGCCATGGGCTTCCTTCAAAACATCCGTAACGGACACTTCCTGCAACGTTTAAGGACTGAATATACACTTTGTGCTCAATTCCGGCTGTTCGTAGACAGCTACGCGAGTGTCACTAGGTGACGTGCAGGCAAGCAGGTATTCACTCTCGTCCTTTGGCTGCAGGTACTTCAGTGGACATAGTCAAAGTCGTCGTCTTCACATTCTACTGGAAGGGCCTTCCCAGCATCGCCTGCAAGTACACTACAGGTGAGATTTAACAGGTAGAAGTTTGGTACCACCCTGGGCTGCCAAGATTAAGACAAACTGCTCTAAGTAGAATGGATTTGCACAGAAACCACAGCCCTTTTCATACAGGCACAAAGGTATTTAAGTATTAATAATTATCCACGCCAAAGGAAGTAAGATACCTAATTACTTTTGGCGCTATATGCAATTTTAAAACAAGAGAAAGAGGCAGAGAGCCCTCCCTTCTCCCCCTGCCCCAACCTAACTGAGGGTCATCAATAAATCTTGTTTGAAAGAATGGGAAGGCAGTGCACTGCATGTAGCACTCCGTCTTTAAAGAGACCCAGCCTGTAGGTTAACAGTAAAGCTCTCCAAAGTAGGTGAGGTGGGCTGAAGAGGCGATTTCTTTGTGCCAGTGCTGCCTGTAGGTAAACAGGCTGCCTCTCCTTGCTACAGCGGCACCCAGTGTCAGCCAGGAGACAATGAAACATTTCCGTGAGCTACAGTATTACCGGACGCATTTCCAATACACTGAGAGAGCAACTGAAGCAGAGGATCACGCGAGAGGATGTAACTGGGAAAACTACCCTGCACAAAGGCACGAACTGACCCGTGACGCCCAGGGGGTGGCTCACGGGCACGGTGATTGTGAAGCCCATTTCCACAGGGTGAATTCTTGTGTTCTTATTGAATACGTATCACCGCTTGTGAAATACAATGCACTGCAGTAACGCTTCTCTCCAGGGGGCGAGTCTGGAACAAGAGAGAGAGAAAAAAAAATACACGGAAGACAAATATGAATAGAAGCCATTTGGAATTCAGCCACTCAGCCATTCTTCTGGATTTACTGCCCGTGAAGTGCACAGATTCAGAATTCTGTACATTTATCTTCCCCGAAGCCTGACGCTAGGGTGCAACGCCTATCGGCGGAAAGTACCGCACAACTGCCTCGGCCGACGAATTATTGGCGTTGAACCAGTGGTTACGGTGCTAGCAGGCCCGCTCAGCGCTAACGTTAAAGCATCAGAGCAGCATGGTGAAGCAGCTCATAATTCTGCAAGCGGACATAAAGGAGCCTGTTTTGCAGTTGTGAGCTGAGATGCGGCATTCTCGCTAACGGCCCGCTGCAGAGATCGGCAGCTGTACAATGGCTTCCCTACGACACAAAGGAGCTTGGTACCGATTAAATACCGTGTTCTGCGCGTGGGAAGAGACGTCTGAATGCGCATCTTCAACCACACGCTCGCGACGTAGCGGAGATCTAGCGTACTTGTCAGGTTTGCTGTGGATAGGCTGTTCCAGCTTCTTTATTTGGCAGGTGACAGACACCCTACGAGGAAGCAAATAAAGCAAAAAATACAAAATTTGAGATAAACAGATCTGAGAGAGTCTCACAGGGTTTCACCGGCCTCTCTCCCCCACCACTTTCTGAAGTGCATGTCTCTTAATACTTGTGGTTCTGTGACCACATGCAGTCTCGAGAGGCTGGTAACAGATGGTGCTTGTTAAAGTGGAATGAAATTGTAACACTGAAGTTTAACAGTCTCGAAGGGATTTGCCGCGTGGACATTACGATAAACCAAAAAGGAGACGGAAAATACTTTGGAAAGGTCCTGGAAGCTTTCAACAACAGCACGCCAGCATAGCTTATCTGCACCTTAATTCCCTCCCTTCAACCGAGCGCCAGGCTGCGTTCAGCTAGTTACCGAAATCCACCTCCCTTAGGGTCAATTTATATCTGGACTCGGGGTCGATCACCGGTCAGCCTGGAGGGCAAAGTTAACGCCCTGCCAAACTGACTAGTTCAGTGTTTTCCCAAGAATACCTGGATGTCATATAACTGTGCATAAAACTCAAGCTGACAGAAAAGGAAGGCTCTTTCTTGAGAACTCCTCTGTCGCTTTTCATATCAAACTGCTTTGTAGTCTCTCTGTAATCCACTTTTCAGCTTTGTTGTTTTATGTTTCGTCTGTAATCGCCCAAAACAATCATGCAGTGTGTGGAGGCGACAAAAAAAAAAAAGAGAGAAATCAATGAATGATTAGACGTGTTTGCACAGGAGAGAGTCTTTAAGACGCACCCTCCAGCTTCGTGCTGAGACTTCCCCTTCTATTCTTAGCTTTATTTTGAAAGCTAGACGTTGCCTTTGCTTTTCAGGTTATGCAGTCTGTCTCCCATACTAAGGCTTCGCCCTTCTCCGATTCTGGGCTGTAATCACACTTGTTTTCTGCAACATTCCTTTCTTATCTTCCGCTTTGGAGACAACGATTACAAAATCCTTTCTAAAACCTGTCAGGATTACACAGAGCAAGCGGTCAAACTGCTAATGAGCTCGTAGGGCTCCGAATGCAAACTGGGATTCCGAGTGTCTCTGCTTTAGCTCTCAGATGCGTGTTTAGCTTTAAATCAATACAATATTCACACTCTAACTCATGGGCAAGAATAGGAGCTATTCCTCCTCTCACGATGTAACTGTCCCGGGAAATCTGATGAGTCTAATAGCATGTGCCAGACGGCAGGCAAAAAACAAGAGCACAAACAGCAGCGATTTAGAGAAGCTCATCGACTGCGCACCCCAACGGACAAATCGTGACTTGAAGCAGCTCTTTTCATGTACCCAGCTAAGCCAGGGAGGCTCCTCCAGCGAGTGATTTTCTCCAGGATTGTCGCAGTCCCGTAGGTTAGACCACCTCCAACTTCTGCACAGTGAAGGTGATTTTGGACAGGGTTTCACCACGGCCACTCCAGTTACACCCCTTCTCCTACTGCTGCCTCACAAACTGAATCGCAGTCCGAAACACCTAAGCAGCCGCCTCTCCCATGTTCCTCAACTAGATCTGTTCTGGTAAAGTCACAACCGGCATCAGCACAACTTTAGCCTCTTTTACGTGCTTTCCCTCAACGGAGATTTTCAACCCAGAAGTGGCGACACTTTCACTTACCCCTCCTAAAGGCCAAGCAAGCTGTCGTGCGATTTCCCCTCAGACAGCCCCGCAAGCTAAACTGGTGAAGGCAAATTCACTTCAGATTATCTTAGCTCTTCTTTCAAGTGAAAAAGAAGACATCACATGCTCTAACGATCTCTCTCACCTCGGGAGACCAAACATCTTTAAGCACTTACGCCTTCCAAAAGATTAGCTTAATATGGTATTTTTATTCTTTAGTAGGAATTCACGCGGCAGAGCCTTTTGGTTCATGGCGCTCCAGGACCACTCCTCCAAGGAATTTCATAAAGCCACCGCTGTGACTGGCGGAACTCATCACTCCCCGTTCCCACTCGCTGTTGCTTACGGTTTTACTTCGCCGTTAGAATTGGCTTCTGCCCAGCCCGCAAGGCCAGGACAGCTGTGGCCTGTAAAGAAAACTCTTCGGTGAAGCAAGGCCACACACAAGCCACACGTTCCAAAAAACAGAAGCTGTGCTGCGAGCAAGGGACCTCACAAAATGCCGTGCCTGAACTCGCTGTGCTCACCAGACACCTCCCGTACTTTCTGTTACATCCCGAGCCTACCAGCGTATCCTCTATCCCCGCTCCGCAACAAAATCCACAGGAAAGGAGAAAAAAGTACATTAAACATTAGACAAAAGAAGGTAAAGAGGCACCTGAAATCAGAAATCGTGTTATTTCTGATAATGATAAACATCCTGAAACTATGGGGGGGGGTGGAGGAAATGTGGGCTGAAAAAACGTTCTGGGGAAATACAGGCAAAATAGAGACAGGGACAACACTGTCACGACCGTGATGTCGGCAGGATTCAACTACAAAACGTACAGGAACAACTACAGAAATACCTGTGGGTTTTCTAGCACCGAAATCTTTACAAGAGTAATTCATTAGGCAGCGCACCCCCTCCAAAACCACACAAACCCCCGCAACTCCGACCGCCTAAGCAACACGACACGTTTTGGCAAACTTCTGTCACGGGATGCACCACCACCACCACCACCCACCACCCGCCTCCAAAAAATCCACTGACCGTGAATGCCATTTCCTGTTTCCTGTGCAGCTGTGACCACACAGACCTCTCCTTCAGTTGTTCTACGACCCGATGCACAAATTCTGGCTAGGAACGGCGACAGCACCAAAAAAAGAAAAAAAAAAAAAGAGAGAAATAAAATTACTTCACAAATAACAAGGATCTTGTTTACCAAATCACGGCTGACGTTGCTGTAAGCGTGTGTATATATTTCTACATGAAGTGCGACCGAGGGAAAGGATTACAACAATTGCGAGAGAAACTAACAAAATTACAGACGTGAAACCGTACATAATTTTTTCCACTGAGCCTGCTGCCAGCTTGCTCTCCTCAGAAGTGAGAGCATGTCTGCCTTAGCTTGAAGCTCAGCTTTCAAGGGAATTAATTTGTAGGAACAACGTGAAAAACGCGAGGCTTCATGAGGATTTCCCCAGAGTCATCCCAGAGAGGTCGCAGGCCACCCTAGGGCGTTTGTTTCTCTTCCAAAGGGTCCCGGCCGCATGACGAGACACTTGGTTTGGCTGCAATCACCGCTTTATTCGGCTACTTGTTGCAATTAGAGGTTGTAAAATTATACAAAATTGGGGGCAGGAAGGACGAGAGTAAACGTACAAAATATTTCGGCCAAAAGAACGCAGCGTAAAACACAGAGACAGAAGCGACTGCAGCTCTTTAAACTGAAGACGTTGATCCCAGAGAACAGGCTACCGTTGCCATGACTAAATAAAACGTCAAAGGGCCGCGGTACCAGCCCGGGATGACATCATCTGGCGGCGAGGCAGGGGACCAGCGCCGAGACCCGCCGGGATGGGTCGGACGCGAAACTCGGACGCCTCAGGAGAAGAATCCGACCCCACACTCACCTCCACGCCCGGGGAAGTCACAGGGAGGAAATCATGGAATCGTTGAGGTTGGAAAAGACCTCTAAGATCATCAAGTCCAACCATCAACCCAACACCCCCATGCCCACTAAACCATGTCCCTCAGCACCTCATCTACTCGTCTTTTAAATACCTCCAGGGATGGGGACTCCACCACGTCCCTGGGCAG